CCCCCCCCCGCCCGCCCGGCCAAGCGAGAAGGCAGCCGAAAAAAAAGCCCTTTCGCACCCAGTGCGGCTGAGCCTCAGCGCGCTGCTGTGAATGAGACGCACTTGCCTTCGGAAAGAGGCGGGGAGGCGGCCGGGAGCTGATGGAAACGGCGGGGAGCACCCGTGCGTCCTGGTTTCAGCTGGGGTAGAGTTAACGGTGTTCCTAGTAGCTGGTCCAGTGCTGTGCTTTGAGCTCAGTATGTGAAGAATGTTGATAACACACTGATGTTTTCAGCTGTTGCTCAGTAGTGTTTAGACTAGAGTCAAGGATTTTTCCGCTTCTCATGCCCAGCCAGGGCACCTGACCCAAACTGGCCAACGGTGTATTCCATACCATGGGACGCCACATCTAGTTTAGGAACTGGGAAGGGGGGGGCAGGGATTCGCCGCTCGGGGACTGGCTGGGTGTCGGTCGGCGGGTGGTGAGCAATTGCCCTGTGCATCATTTGTACATTCTAATCCTTTTATTACTACTGTTGTCATTTTATTAGTGTTATCATTATCATTATTAGTTTCTTCTTTTCTGTTCTATTAAACCGTTCTTACCTCAACCCAGGAGTTTTACTTCTTTTCCCGATTTTCTCCCCCATCCCACTGGATGGGGGGGGAGCGAGTGAGCAGCTGCGTGGTGCTTAGTTGCTGGCTGGGGTTAAACCACGACACCGTGAAACGGCAGGGATGCTCCGGGCTGGGCAGCGCACGCCCCTCCAGCAGCCGGGCAGGGCTCTGGGCTTGCCGTGGGTATGGTCCCACGCAGCCGTGCTGGGAAACGACCCTTGTCACTCCGAAGGCAGAGAGTATCGCCTTCAGCCGGCTGCCTTCCATACAAACACAGGCCGGCCACGTATACCTACAGACGACAAAACCCCACCAAAACGACACTGCACCAAGCATAAAGCTGACGTGAAAGAGAGGAAGGGGTACGGCAGACGGTAACAGCCGGTTACTAATGTATACCTGGGAAGCCCTTGGCTGTTATAGGGCAACATCCCATCATTCAGTAAGTTCCATAATGCAGAGTATTTGCTCAGCCTCACAACTACACTATTTTGGGTAACAATTCTAGCCACAGTGGAGTAGGCCAGGTGTCTTTCAAAAGGAAAAGCCCCAAGGAAACCCCGCCAGCTTTTTACAGGCAGAAACGATGCCTCAGACTTACTGAGCAAAGCTCTCATCTTTGATGGGGGAGAAACACACTACCACAAGCCTTATCTTGTGTTCTCAACACAATACTGATGTCCTGATTGATACGAACCATCAGTAACTTTCCTCAAGATTAAAGGCAACAAACTACAGCACCTCTGCTGAGCTCCAAAGGGGGATATCCGAACAAGGCAAACAAAACCAAGCACTGAACCAATAGACCTCATCCGCATTCTAATCTAATTGTAATTACACATACTCTGAATTTCCTTTTTATTAACTCAGTCGTTACCTGGTTACAGTTTTCTCATAGCCTTTCAGACCGTTGTCAGCCTTCTACCATCATCGGTCCAGAGGCCTTTCCCAGGTGACTGCTCCTTCCTACCTGCTCCCACACAGCTGCTTGCACAGCAGTTGTACAGAGCATCCTCGTTCCCAGAAGCCTCCCAAGCACGCAGAGAATCAATTACTTCTGCAGATACCAAGAAGGGTCCCAAACATCGGTGAATTAAATGTTTAGATTGTCCATTACTTTTCCTTCTTTCTGAAGCATTTGCTCAGCTCCAGTAGAAAGTGACATGCTGTTTCATTATGCACACACCCACGCACTTTTTAATTAAGACATTTTGATCCTGTTTCTGGACTGCGCTCTTGGTAGCTGGCTGTTGGCACAGACAGAGGCTGGGTTCCACCCTAGAAGTCCTCAAGGCCTATGAAGCGTGCCCAACACCTACCATCTGACAAGCTCTTGGATGGCAAAGCAATCACAGGATCTTGAACTGGCAGAAGGAAACTTCCCGTCAGCTGGCGGAGGGACATTTCTTCACTGCTTAATCCCTTAGCTCCTCTTTGGGCAGGCACAAAATGCTGACTTTGTCTTCTGAATTTGGAAGAATATAGAGGTAAATCTCAACTCCAGCATTTTGCAGCCAGCACAACTAATATTAAGCCTTGCTCAGATCTACAGTCCTCCTCTCCGAGATCACTGGACTCCAATTAATCTTGGGTCCAGTAACTTTCCAGCAAAGCTTTACAGTGCGTGTCCATCTCCACTCAAGGACCCTGCCTTTTGACTAATGCAGAGAGCTAAATTTGTTCTTTGATCACAGATGGTTCCCCCCTTAACTCAGGTTGTGCAGACTGCACTGATGAATCCTAACTTAACAGGCTGTAAATCAGCCTGTTTTCCTTCCACAATTCCTCAGACAATCCCAGATCAAATGATGGCAAAGACTGTTTCTGGTGTACCCCGAGCTACAAGCCCTCCTTGCCTGTTCTGTCCCCCTTTAAGAAACCGTTTGCAGACTTCTGCAAGCCCTTAAAGGCTGGCTTTATGTTGCTACTCCATTCTGAGATCCAGGAATGGCATTCTTCTATCTGAGTTGCCCCTGATAGAAACACATCTGGTTTAAACAGAGGGGCAAGAGCTGTGCAAAGCGGCCACTAGACCTAGCTGACTTCCCAGCCACTTTCTAGGTCATTGTGCTGGTTTTGGCTGGGATAGTTAATTTTCTTCATAGTAGCTAGTATGCGGCTATGTTTTGGATTTGTGCTGAAAACAGTGTTGATAATGCAGAGATGTTTTCATTATTGCTAAGCAGTGCCTACACAGAGTCAAGGCCTTTTCTGCTTCTGCAAGAAGCTGGGAGGGGACAGAGCTGACCCCAGCTGACCAAAGGGATATTCCATACCATATGATGTCACACTCAGCATATAAAGCTGGGAGAAGAAGGGGACATTTAGAGTTACGGCATTTGTCTTCCCAAGTAACTGTTAGGCATGATGGAGCCCTGCTTTCCTGGAGATGGCTGAACGCCTGCCTGCTGATGGGAAGTGGTGAAAGAACTCCTTGTTTTGCTTTGCTTGCATGCATGGCTTTTGCTTTACTTATTAAACTGTCTTTATCTCAACCCACCAGTTTTCTCACTTTTACCCTTCTGATTCTCTCCCTCATCCCACTGGAGCAGGGGATTGAGCGAGCAGCTGTGTGGTGCTTAGTTGCTGGCTGGGGTTAAACCATGACAGTCATCATAAGGATGGAAAAGAGGAAGGGTTGCTGGTGGACTGGATAGCTGTTTTCCCCACTGAAGAACCACTGGCTGGCAGTACCCACATATTAGGTTACCACAGGCATCAAGAACCTGCTGAGGAGGGGCAGACAGACAGGACTAGGTATCTCAGACAGATTTGATCCTAAGCTGGAGAGAGCTCAGGTTTAGTTTTTGTCCTTATGAATATCCCAGCTGAATCCTCCCACATAAGTCTTATTTATTTAGACTATCCAGTGCCCAAGAGGCATATAACAGTGCTGATTTATCTATGCCCTGCGCTTCCTTCAAGCAACACTATTTCCATGTTTGGATGGAACTGGCCACAAAAACAACCCCAAAAGCAAAACACTGACAAAAATGCAGAAGCCTTAACATTTTTTTTCCTCAGCATCCCAAATCCTACAAAATTTGTATTAAGTTTTATTTTCAAAATCATTACAAGTGTTCAGTTTGCCTAGCAGGAGGCACACTCACCCGGAATGATGACCTGCTTAATTTTAGTCCTTATGCTGCTGGATACTCAACCAGGATTTGGAACATCTGAGGCAAGTTCATTTATAATGAAGTATACCAAGGGGAAATGATGACTTTCCTTGCCTCCCTCCAACCCTTCCTCATACAATCCAGACCAGAAAAATGTTTCCAGCAAAGCTTTTGTTGAAACATAAACATTTCCAGGAAAAGTTTTGTTTCATCTGACTGGCAGTTTACAACTGAAAGTACGTCATCAAAAAGGTTCCGAACTAGCTCTGGGCTTGGACCCACAGTGACCTCAGCCCCAGCAGATGTTTGGAGGCCACGGTATGGAGAAAGAAACGGAGAGCAAATACACGGACTAGTTGACTGACTGCATGCACCCATGATCAGGATAAGGGAAAGCTGGAGAAGTGGTAAGCTACCGATTATTTCTTAATTTAGAAGTTCTTGTGAATAGAAAGTAGAGCAAACACATCACCTATCACCTCACAAATTCATGACTTCTTAAAAAAGATCCATCACAAACTTGCTTACTGCACCTCTAGAGTACTCAGTTTTTTCCTACATGTTAGTACCTGCTCCCTGCACTGCTCCCTCTACGTCTTTTTAGCCCTCACCATCCTTTAGCCCCCCTCGGTCCTCCTTCCACATAACTTACCCATTTATCTTTGATCCTCAAGCTCTATCAGGCCTTTAGTAGGTATGTGGAGCTGTATGACAAAATGAGGTCAGAGCCCCCTTTTGCACACAATCCTGTCCTCATACAACAGAAGAAACCATGAAACGTCAAGGCTGTGTTCTCAGCAAATAGTTGGGCAATTGGGCACTCACAACAATGTCTCACTTTCTTTCCCCTTCACACAGGCTCAAAGATTCACATTTTCTTCCTTCTCTCCTTTTTTTTTTTTCCCCCTTTCCATAAACTAAATTTTGAACAGTTGGTTGGCCAAGGCAGCAGATTCCAGAGGGTCTTATTCCAGGCCAAATAGCAATAAAACTCATTTGGCATATTCATCTTATTGGGAAGGTAATAAAATTAAGGAACAGGATTGCTATTTTGGTATGTCATTCCTCAGTAAGGTACCGATGACTAAGAAAAAAACTTCCACGGAGCTAGTGAAGCTGAATGCTTCTCACAGCTGACGAGTAATGCAACAGGCTTATTATGATAACTAAGATGTTTACAAAGCACCTAGAAAAGAAAATTTCCCAACACCCAAATGCACCGACTCCCTTCCCACTTGTGCTAAACCTGAGGAAAGAACTAAGGAAAGGTTAAGCCTGGCGAAAGCAAGCTACCCACCCTTCCCAACTGGCACGATGGTTATAACAAGAGCTGTCTGCACAGCCAAAACACCTGCACAGGAAATTAGTCCCCTGGAATCTCCCTGTTTGCCTTCTCCTGCCAAGCAAGTCTGCCCACAGTCAAGAATGACTGATAATTATTGAATTTGGGTTGAACAGTTTCAATTCATAAAATTTCCAAAAATATCAATTTGGTCCAGGTCCCAACAGAAGATGAGGTGAAGATGAAAGAGGAAGAAAAGGAAGGAGGGTGAGTTGGTTGCTCAGGCACTAAACAGAAAGGAAAATATGTTATTCATATGCCCTATTTCTCCCCCAATCTTAAAGTGCAATTTAGCTCTGAAGAAGGGTAACAGCACAGCCCTGCACTGAGTTGTTCTCCCTGCGTCATCCACTTTCCTGCATGCTGGATTTAGCAATGAAAATAAATATTATTTCTGTTAGTCAACAGGGTCTCTGGAGAAGGACTGGGTCTGTGCTGGCTCATACATCATCCAACCTACATGGTTGAGACAACAGAATATTGTTAGTGTATTACTCAGAAGGGACCTGATCTGAACTATGGTTTCCAAGGACTTCTACAGTACAAGCAGGGTTCTGCGCAAGGCTCATCTTTTTGCCCTGTTTCTGTATAGTGCTTAGCACAAAGGCCCATCATAAGGGATGTGAGACAGAGCCATAACGCAAATAACGAACTACATTTGCATGGCAGGGTATTAATCCCACTCATTTTCTCACACAAACCGTGGCACCTGGGAGAAAAGAGATTCCTGAGTTTGCTGTAACTCAATGTCAGTCTTTCACTCTCATGCAACGGGGAAGCAAAAGCACTCACCTCCTTCTTTGCTGACTCCCAAGCACCCCTTCAGCTCCTGAAGCGAGATTGACTTGTCCTTGTTGAGGTCACAGTAGTCAATGAAACGTCGGGCACATTTCTTGGGCTTGGCTTTCTTCTTTACGTAACGCTTGAAAGGCTTCAGCTCCCGCTTGTTGATGTCATTACTGCTGTTGTTGTCCAGCTGGCTGAAGTACCAGTGTACCACTCGCTCCTCCAGTGTGTGGCTGGGGTCTGGCTCAGAGAACCTGGAACAGAGGAAGCACAGGCCCCCAACAAGTGGGTGCTCTCACCAACGCTGTCAAGCACATGCTGAGGAGCCAGAGCTGACACGCGTTATGCCATGCTTAAAGCCGGCAAAATACGCAGGTCTTACAATCTCCTCCTTTTAGCTGGGCTCTTTTGAGAGAGATGAACATTTTCTAAAAATGTCCTTTAGCATTAACAAGTGGTGCCAAGAGATTCCTGGAGACTGATACCCTCAGTAGCTCCAGTTCTCCTCACACCAGTTGCTGAAACTCTGCCTAATCCCAGAATGATCTCTCTTTAGAGGGCAGGAGGCAACCTCTGTGGTCCTTTTGACCCTTGGACTCTCACTCGAGTTACCAGCAGGAAAGCCATGACTGTCAGCTGTCATGGTAGTTTCTGTGATAGCAACATCTAGACTTCAGAAAGGGAACAAATTCATTTCATGCAAGACACATTCATTATTTGAAAATGTCCTTGGCAAGATGCAACATTCCTGCTGTATCTATTTATATGATCAGAACTCCTGTGCTGTATTTTCAGCATATTTAATGCTTTTCACATGGTTGATTTATGTACAAGAATTCCACAGCAGACAAGCACCACAAATCCATTAAAAGCAATACTACGGAACTGGCAACTTCAGTTTGCTTAATTTCTTACTCATTGTGATATTACAAGTTTGGCGTTATTTGGCTCACATTTTCTTTCTGTGGACAACAACAAACAATATCAGAGAGGAGGAGAAGAGGAGCAGGAGGAAAAGCAACAGCTGAAGATCCACAAATAGAGAATGCTGCCGTTCAATGTCAAGCCAACACTGAACAGGCACTGTTATGTCGTACCATTTAAGCAGCATCTGGTGTTCTGCAACAGCAGTGGGAAAGGGGTTATTCCTCAGTGATACAGAGAACCAGGGAAGAAACTCTTTCTAAAGAAGAATTCTTTAAAAATCACACTAAGCTAGTCCGTCTTTTCTCCATGTGATGAGTGTGCCAACAGAGAAAGCTGAAATAATGCTGAAATGAGGCTGAGACTTGAGCCTTTTTCCTCACTAGAATAAAGCATTTCAGTGCATGGAAACTAGTGGATAGGTAGTCAGACACACTACACTGGCAGTGGTTGCTCTGACTTATTCCAGGAGACACCTCCAGCTGCTGCCTAATTCCTTCCCCAGCAGTGAGAGAGGGTCAGTTGCGTGCTGCGGGCAGCCAGATTCTGGTGTGCTTCAGCATTCTAGCTGATGGGGAAGTATGAACCCAGGTACCTTATAAAATGCACTTTAAGACTGTCACCAACCTTGTTTCAGATACTGGTAGGATATATATTTAAACGGTCACTGAAAATTTCTTTGTTGGGAACTGGAAGGAAGAAAATTCTTTTCACCTTCCAGTATGACCAGTTTTGCCTCTAAAACACAGCTGCAGAGCCTGAAAAAGAAAAAACCTACCCTACTGCCACAGTAATTTAAATCACTAGTGAAGGGGAGTCTGCAACATGCAGAAAGCAAGCACTGGAGCTTAGGTGGAGATCAGAGATCCCCGTTAACCTTCTCTGATAGCTTTTACAAACGAGGATACAATTTAGAAAGGTAGCCCCTATCCAGAGACATCTGGATCCTCGAAACAAGTAATCACACACAGTAAGGAGAGGCAAATAAACTGCACCACATTTTTCCCAAGGTTTTATTTCAAACTATCTCCTTCATCATTTAGTTTTTAACTGAGAAGCAGCCTGGCATTCAGTCACAGCATCTGGTCAATGTACAGTGGGATAAACACTGTGGGGGAGGAAGAAGAGGTTGGGAATCAGTTTGGCTTAGTTTGGGGAGCCAAAATACAAGGCAAGCCCCTGGAGCCACCTATGGACAAGCAGAAATTGCAAAAATCTCCCCAGAAAGCTAAGGGAGTGCCCAGGTTTTTCAGAGCCTTGAAACTGTATGTGAAGACCAGGATGACAGGAGAGAATAAAAACACATCCTGTGGCTTGTTTTTATGACATTTATGAACACAGTCACTGGCCTCTCTCCCTTTTGGAAATGAACTGGCTATCATTTGAAGACCAGCACATTTCCAACAGCCACAGGGAATTCCTGTATTGCAAGGGCCAATATCCTGCTTTTGCTGAGATAGAGGAATAAAACCTGAGCTTTTGCATGTGAGATTCCCCTTGTCCACACCTTTGTCTGCCCTTTGTTTCCTGAAGGCCCACAACTGGAGAGGCAGAAATGGAGAAAATAGCAGAGCATCTTAGAACCAACAGCAGAAAGACGATAGGAACACGAGTTTCCCTCTACCTGCTGAAGAGACACTCAGAAGCAGGACTTAGAAGAGCCTCTTCTTCAGAGGCACACCAAGGAGGAGCTCTGATGAGTTACCAAGAGAAGCAATATAGCTCTCTTTAGCACTTCCATAAAGAACATCAGGGAAATCCACAGGCTAATACAAATACATTGACTCATGAGGTGATGATATATCAATTTTTGCCATTACAAACATGCTGAGAGCTCGTGCTGAAAACTGCAGCATGCTAATGGAGCTAAAGGGAGTTAGTTTAATTGCTGTGATTGTAAGAGGAAGGAAGGTATAGCCATTTCTGAGTTTCTACCATTTCCTGTTGGCTGGCTTAGCAGGACTGCAGTTCCTGAGTTGGTTGCCCTTTCTGATGATCATCCAGAATCCCAGCACAGGAAGGATCCACATCATCTCAGTGCAGCCATATCTCCCTGGCTCGTGAAATTACATGATACGCTAAAGAAGGCTGAGGTTACACCACCACATCTAACTATCTTGACTTTTGACGGCTGCCCATGCAAGACACTTATGCACCATCCGTGAAACAAGAATTGATGCAACTTCACAGCACTGCTAAGCCGCCCAGCTTTGATGATGTGCCGTGACAACCACCACACCTGCTGGGTCATCTGAAATAAATCTGGGGGCTCTAGCTGTCCTGCAAGCACAGGCTTTGCAGGAGTATTCCAGGGGAATTTCCCTCTACTACCTCTCCATTGCTGTTGCATGAGAAATAGATCAGCCCTCACGCAAACTTCATTTGTTGGGCTGCCTCTCTACTCATTCAGACCATAAAGGGATCAGAAAAACCAAAAGAGAACAAAGCTGCTTTGTACATTCTCAACCCCCAGCAAAACAACATCTCTTGCTCTTACACCAGTCACACAAAAATCCACTGAATTCCAGTCTCTCACTCCAGTGCTGCAGCAGCTTTGTAAGACCTAGCAAAGACAGACATTACCAAAATGCAGACAGTCTTCTCATGTTGACTACATTACAGCTGTACTCACTTTTCTTCCTAATTGTTTCTCTTTAGAACTCTATGGCAAAACAATCAATCCTAAAGAATGAGTGCTTGGTAAGCAAAGAGCTCTGTGCGAGCTGATTTTCCAAATCTAACCTGCTATTGCTGGATTGCTGCCGTACGTAAGCCAGCAAGTTTAGCTGCATTATGCAGCACAAGCCCACCCACGGTCCAACAATGAAGAGAAGCATGGTCTGTCATTAACAGTCTAGGACAGGGAACCTGCTGTCTCAGCTTTCTTACAAATTTGTTGGCATCAAGTATATAGTCTTCTCTAAGTAGGCTTTTGCTCCTCCTCCTGTATAATGTGCTATCAGCTCCCTCATAGGAGGAGAATACTTATTTCTTAGGTGGCTTATGCTTGGAGATATGGTTTAAGGTACTATTACTTTTAACAATACTATTTTCCAATCAAGACACTTCTACAGAATACCTTCATACCAGCTGGTGTAACAGGGGTACAGGCAGAAAGCAAAGAGGCTATGAAAAGACACGGGCATGCACTTTTGCAGCTGCACTGAATTCTGGAGCAGAGAGAGAAGAATATGCCAAAACATCAAATAGACAGCTTGAATATGCACTTTGCATGCAGTCTGTAACGCTTTGCAGCCCTTGAGGCCCCTTGCAAGAAAGGAGGAGTTAACTCAGTGGGAAGGAGCAGGGAAGAAGGGGAGGTATATAGGGTAAAGTATACAAAAGCAGCAAATGTCAGACATTACTCACATACAGAACCGTGTACAGTGTGCAATCACATTATCCTCCATCGAACTGTGCTGTCAAAGTGTAATACGTCCCACTAAATTTTACTAAGTAAACTGAAGTCCATTCCTACCAAAGCTGATCCTTTGCTCCCTGAATACTTGCAGCCCCACTGCATCCCACTGCAAAGGCTGCATGGACCTACAGTACTGCTGCAGTGACAGAAAATCCTAATACAAAATACTGCTTTGACAGAAAGCGAGGTTGCAAACTCTGAAGTACCCAGCAGATGATCACCTGTTTGAAGACCTTTAGAAAACCTATTCTTTTGTAATATAAACTTTATGTAGCAACAATAGCAGCTGAGGCAGAAGGAGGGGAGTAAGACCAGCCTAACATCACCCAACAGGACTGCAAACAGACACTATAAACCAGAGGGAGCTATTCCAGGATGGAAGAACACTGATGGACAAGAAGCTGCTAGCAGAAGTGACAGAGTAGAAAAAAAAATTAGTCCAGCTTCCACTCCTAACACACAAGGTATGTTTGTGGTCAGGATGTCTACAGGAGTTAAAGTTGTAGGTTTCTATGAATTGAAAATATTTTGCAAGGGTATATACATTGCTTGGTGCTGTTGCTGAATGAAGAACAGATTGGAGCAAAGCTAAAGAAATGACAGGACTGACCCTGCCAGTCAACACCCATGACAGCATTGATGATGTCCACCAAGGTGCCTGTGGGGAGTGGTGGAAAGCAATGAGTTTAACAAACGGAATTAAAATTCAGAATTGTTCTTGCTCTGCTTCCTCTTTTTAGTCTCCTTTTCTTGTTCTTCGCGGTTGTCTATTCTGAAGTTAAAGGCTGTAGTGGTGGAACATGGCTTGAATCAAAGAGTATTACTCTAATGGAATTGCAAAAGGATCCCGTATCTGTTTTATTATTCTCCCTTTCCTGTAGCCAAAGAATCAAGAAGCCAACAAAAAACTAAACTGTGTTCAGACTAAACAAAAGGGTACTATGCAGTCCAAATTCATTACGGGGAATGCATAATTCCTCTACAGTTAAAACTTAAGTTATCTTCCTATTACAGGCCCAGTTTCTTCCTCTCCTCCAGCTAAGTTGTATATGAAACATTATTCCGAACACTTCTCTGAAGATTGTGGGATAAATCATTTAGAAGGTTTAAAAATCACCTCCCTTCACTCCTCATTGACTGTTCAAGATTGTCCTCTTACATGAACTCTCCCGTATCTTTAATTAGGCTAGAATTTCCATAGGAGCACAAAGAGAAGTTGGTATCCCACTTCAATTGAAATGCAATAGGAGTTGGGCATTAACTTCCCTGCACTGTTCGAAAGCGTCAATCTTTATTAAAACATGGCTCGGCTTCAGAACACCCTGGAGATGTGCTGAGCTGTGCTTGCCTGCTTCAGACTGCTCAACTAGAGCATGAAAGGGAACCTTGGGGGCAATTTTCTTAAGTATTTTTTAGGGCTATTACATGAGGAATAATTGGCGACTTAAAATGAAGGGACACAGCCGCTGTGTTACATGATAAGGGTGGCTGTTGTAAGCTGCCCTTTTAACCCTAAATTCCACAGGGCAGGAATATTTTTGCTGATAATGTAGCAAGCCATAGTGCACGTATTTTGGCAACTAAAATTCATTTCTGAATTGGCAGGGACCAAAGAGAGTTTCTCAGATCAGGGACACCCAGGCTGGGATCCCCCTTTGGTCTATTTTAGTTTAGGCCCTGTGTGATATGAATATGTCAGAGTTAGAAAATAGACTAAAATGTACTAAAGTGAAGTCTAAATTTTAAAAAGTCCTGCTCTTATTATATAGGGTTTATACATGAACAATTTCAATGATGCGTTTTTTCAAAAAGGGTACTAAACACTGGTTAATAAACCAATTTCCTACAAGCGCTCCCTCAATTACTTTGAAAACATACAGTAACAAGATGTGCCTTGGAGTTATTACATAAACTTAAAATTAAGAACGAATTTTACCAGAGATTTTCTGTTTCAAAAGTCTAAATGAAGTCTACTTGGCTATTTTGCTGTAATATAAACCAGGGCCATGAGGAAGGGAAGTTCTCATCTCATTTACATTATTGTAAAGCAAAAGTAACTCAATTAAAGTCAATAGCTTTGAACTTGCTTAAACGAGACAAGACCTATAAGGGATTACAAGGCCGTTTTAAGCATGCCCAATAACAAAAAAAAAAGGTCTTATCAGGTTTTACTTACATGGCCTGCAGCAATCCAAGTTGTACAGCCTCACTTTGCTGCTACTAGATTGTTTCTGTGTGTGCCAAGTATAAAGTCTGCAATTTAGCACAGCTCTGTGTAGTACTTTAAATGCAGATCTCCATCATTTCTCCCCATGCTCCCCCCACCCCCAGAAAAACCCTAACATGGACATTAACTGCAAGGCAACAGATAGCTTTGCAGCATAAGTAGGTAAAGTCTTGAAGATGAAGACACTTAGCAAACGCAAGAAGTTTGAATCTGGATACACGAGTGAAGACTGAAAGCGACAGGGTAATCTAATCTGATTTCCTGTATTACATACTCACAGAATGTGAATCAAATTACTCTTAGGACCATAACTTGGGTTTGACTAAAGCAAGTCTTTCTGAAAGGCATCAGGCTTAAGATGAAAGCCTTAGAGAGAGGGAATCTGTCAGCTCCCTCATGACTTCATTCTGCCTTAGAATTGCCCTCGCTTTAAAGAAATTTTGATCACAAGTTTGTTTATATTCAGCTAATCATGTTCTTCCCTGCTAGACTAAAGAGCCTGCAGAGCTTTTGTCCCTATGGAGATACTCAGATTATATGACATCATCTTTCAACCTTTTTTCCCTTTCTTTTAATACACTAAGGAAGGCTGAGCTCCTTAAGATTCTCACTGTTAGGCTTTTTCAGTCCTTGACATTTTGGAAAGGCTCTTCTCTGCGTTTGGTGCTATACTTTAATGTTGCTACTAAAGACACATATTGTATGCCAGCATCATCTCTCTGCTGCCACGGAGAAACAGGAATAGTCCCCCCCCCTTCCCCAAAACTCCTACTTGCTGCTTCTCTGACTGATTAAAATACATAGGACAACATATAGGGCGAGCTGACATGGGAGTACGGCTTGCTGTTTGCTTGGCCTGCCCCCTGCAACAGGCACAAGCTTTGCTAGTGATACATTAAAAATTTACCTTGGATCATTGGGTGCATTTGTTCAAACTCTAAAAAAGGCCCAGGAGGATGAAATGCTGAACACTGTAAAGGAACAGAAAGAGGAAGGCTACAGAGGGAACCAGGGCGTGTTTAAATACAGAATCTATTCTGCCATCGTTATGGCAAAGATGGATAAGAGCCTGCAATAAGTGAAGCTTGCCTCACAAATAAGAAAACTGATGTTAAGACATTAAAACTGACATGAGTGACATTAAGAAAAATCAGATAGCCAGATCTCTAGCTTTTCTTTTCAACATGACCTTCTCAGCAAACCTGGGCCAGGGAGATACAGGATAAGCACTGTCGTAAATCCAGTATTTTGTTAGTTGTTAAGGTTGGAAATGAATTAGCCCTATGATTAACCCTATAGGTAAAATATCCCTTCATCTTTGAAAAGAGCTTTCATTTCCAGTGCCAAAGTCAAGTCAGGTCACCCAGACAATTTCAGATATTCCTGAAGAGAGGACTCAGGACATTCCTCCCCTTGGGAAACTTGAAAAGCAGGACTCATTATGCAGGGACAGCTTCCCAATTCTGCAAATTCATATGAAATGAAAGCTGTACTGATTAAAATTTTATATAAGTACCAAAAATTCCTTGAAATGCTTTTGTTTTTGCAAAATAAATGGTCCCGTCATGGCATGATGGGATGGAAAAGCTTGACACACTTTCTTTGGGATATGCGCTTAGCCTAGCTGATGCACATGGAAATTCACGCCAGAGCAGTTTCCTGAATTTAATCGTGGCTGTGGGCAGGCAGAGTATTTGGGTGGTAGCAGTCTTTCGCCTTACAAAAGACAGGCTGCTAAAAGATTTCTTTTTCCCCTTGCAACTGGACTGCTGACACTGGAGCTGAAAATAAATCAACATGACGACTGTGTGAAGAGCTGGGCAGTGAAAGATTCTATCAGAAAGGCCTCTATTGAAAGCTGAGAAATACACAAAGCTTGGGTAACACTAGGAAGCAAGCCTGCTGGTTTACAGAAGTGCAGTGGGGGCATATATCTCTGGTCTCTACAATATTGGTTTATATTAAGCTTTATTTTAAGAGTGATGATGGCATTGGCTGGGCTTCAGTCCCAGTGCCAAAGATGCCGAACAAATATCAGATACTCTCCAGGGCTTCCCGCCACCCCTACCCATTGCATTTGAACCATGCAAATTAGACAGAATTGACATTGGAAAGCTTATGGCTGGGAGAGAACAACATTATTTCCCATCCTTGGGGCATTTTTCATCCTGTTTATATGAATACAGACATGCTAGGCGAATACTGCTAATTCGATGGGTTACAGAATATTCAGCGTGCAGGCACTCAGCCACTGGCCTGATTTGTAAGGTCCAAATGCGAAGTTAAAACCATATGGGTTCACAAGCAATCCATACTGAAACCAAGGGGCACAGAGGTGCCACCCAGGAAGTTTTTCGTCTTAAGTAGTTAAAGATGGCACAGCTTCCTTCTACATTTTGAAAGAGGAAAGCAGGGGATCAAAATTACTCTCAGTACCTTGGAGCAGTACCCACGGAAGTAACACATGCACAGAGGCACCTCCTTCATCTCTACACCCCTATGAACACGAGCACACTAGTCGCTGTGGCATCCCTGCGTGCTAAACTAGCACTGACTCCATTTATAGTTGGGGGAATCCAGAAGCATAGAAGCCCTGCCTAGCCAAGGCAACACAGCACTTTTAAATCCATGACAGTCCATTCTCAATGGCCTGTCCTGCAGCAGCACTGCAGCTGCTGCGCTAAGGGGATTTGCTGTTATCAAGCAGAAGGGGGAGACAAGACCTCAGCTTTTCTCCAGTTCCCCAGAAACGCAGACTTCTGCCCACCTCTTGCAACAGGCCTGACCTGCTGCTCCTTCGAAGAGGGATGGATGAACAGGCAGCTGGTCAGAGGGGAGGGCCGTGAAAAACAGCTCCTCTCCTCATCGGCAGGCTGGCTCCAGGCCCACAGCAAAACCACAGCACTGGCACTGCCAAGAATTCAGTTCACATTCTTCGCTCCCTGTGGTAGCCACTAGGCCACACGGTCTCCTTCAATCCATTTGCATTTTATTAGGTCTTTTCATGCACCAGGGGACAAAAGAACAAGCCACTTCCTCCCACTGAGCTCTCATTTCACACTTCAAATGGGCTATACTAACCTTTATGGTGGAGCAGCTGCCAGGGAGGAGGGCTGGGAGGAGGCAGGCAGGGCTAGGACGACAGGACAGAGCAGCGGCTGAAGATGCAGCCTCAGCTCCTCTCCCAGCAACCCAGAGGAACCTGAACCAGCACACAGCAACACCTTCCCCTCCCGCCCCCACCTCGGGGGCACCCCGAGCTCTGCAGCCGCCTCGGTGGCATTCAGCCTGAGTGCTGTCTGGACTCACCTCCCACCCCCAGTAGGTGCTGCTGAGTTAATAGCCTGTACCATGTCCGTAGTCAGAGCATCAAGTAAGCTGGTAATAAATTCAACTTTCTTCCCTTCTGGGCAGCCTGCAGAGAGAAAAGAGGAGGTTTAATGCAAGAATACACAGGATTGGTCTCCTAGCCCAGTTCAGCCAGAACCTCCTTTGTTTGTAACATGGCAGTCATCATCACGGTCCCTAAGGAAAAGCAAAAGAATCCCTCAGTGGGTTTCTCTGCATGGCAGTTTGTCCTGCAGCTTTTGTCCAGGCACACACAGGGTCACCAACAATATCTGGCAGGAAGACTGTGTGGTTAGCTTTATGGCCGCTCCCAGTTCTCTACCAGCATAACCACAGGGATGTGCTGGAAGTGCCTGGCAGACAGGAGTTCCCATGGTGACATTTGTAGAGAAGTTTACAAAACAACTCATTACCTCCTGGGTCATCTTCCTCGGCAAACATGGCTGTTCTGAGGTCCTAACTGACAGCTTAAAGCTTCCCAAAGCACGGGCCAAAGCAAGGACTGCTGCTTGCACTCTCCTGTTCAGGCACAGAGAGGGTTGCCTGCCAGCAGCTACCACAATAATTCAGTTCTTTGCATGATCACACTGCATGGGAAACATGTCAGTCTAAGTCGACACGAGGTAATCGCCCCCAGTCACTGCTGGCTTAACCAGGACAAAGCGGGCTGAAGACAAGCCTGGTAACCATTTCCATTACTTAGTGCTGAGGCTGTCTAGTTCCCCACCGTCATAACCACAGACTGACAGAGCCTCCTATCCTGAACAGTGCCAGCCTGTTATGACACAGCAGAGACGAAATTCTCCATCTCCTCACCTTTATGAGGCAATCTACGCTGTTTCCTTGCTTCTTAAAGGAGCAAAAGCATGCTTCATTTACTACCACATTAATACCGTAACAATTGCTCTAGGCTACCAAGGAACGAGCATACTTAACTTCAACCCACCACCTCCAAAACTATTGTCCAGAATCCATCACCTCCCGTCCTATTGTCTCCTCTTGATGTGACAGAGAAGCCATCACGACATCCCTCACCTCTTCTCTTTCCCCAAACCACCATGCACTACCAATTAGTCAGCTGATTACGGCAGCAGACACCAGACAACAGCCTCCCCCAGCAACACACAGCAGCGTCAACACTTCCTGCTTTTCTCGGACAAGCAGAGAAGCACGTGTACCCCAAACAGAGCACCAGAAACTTACTGTAATCCCTTGACAGCTGAAAGCAGCTTGCAAATTGATCTGACAAAACTCCCTCCTTTGCTGTATTACAGGCTCTGTTCTCTGCAATAGCTAACCAACAGTCCCTCGCCTGTCTCCATATTATGTGCATTACACACACACACACCCCCCTCAGCACTCGTTTGGCACATGGTCCAGAAAATGTCAGCATTGTAATGGGTAAGCTGCTATGGCAGCCAGAGTAGACCACTCACTTAAAGGAGCTTTTTGTTGCAGTAATGAGAAGGTTGAAAAACCATTTGCTAGAAGTCATCTCCCTGGGGCCTCAGCATCTCACCGTCTGCAGGAATTAGCAGCTTGCCATTTGCTATGTGCAAGCAACACTTTCCTTCCTTCTTTTTTTCTTTTTTCTGGCCACAGCCATGACACAGTTTGTGAAGAGGGTATGTGTAGGTGTGCAAGGATCTGGACTTATGTCTCCCCCACCTTGGCCTCTGCAGGGTCTCTTCACACAGGTCAAGGTGCACACAGCCTGCAGCACTGAGAGTCTGAAGACTGGGCAAACCTCTAGAAGAGGAATAAGGTATGGGGTCCCCCTTACAGAATTGAGTGCAAATGGAATGATCAGTCTCAAATTAAAAGAGGGGTTTTTCTTAAAATTCAGTTCTGCTAAGAAATAAGAGCGGGGGAAAAAATAAAAAGAAACATCCTCTCTCACCCCCTGCAGTTCTGGCTCACCAGTGAATTTTTGCATACAAGGGCATCTAATCAAACAAACCTCAAGTCTGCATCAAAAGATCACGCAGCACAGCATCTCTCAGGCAGACAAACCAGGATCAGGTCCTCCATCTCCTGGTCTCTCCATAGACAAGGGTATTTTCAGTGACAGGAACCATCATGCCAGCCAATGCAGCCAAGCACAGAGCTGAAAGTTTACTCAGGCACAGAAAAGTGGCTTGAGCTGAGAGGGGAACTCTCCTGGGGTCTGATGCTGGGACCAGACCACTAAGCTACACAGCATCACGTGTCCTCTCCTGCGTCAAGCAGTTCCTGTCCCCTTGTCTAGCTGCAGTGCAGAAGGGCAGGGCGAAGGGAAATGAAACCATACTGTCTTTCTGAGAGATCAGAAAGAGACTCTCAAAGAAAAAGCCCAAGAGCAAAAGGATTTCCACAGAGGAGTTCTGGAGAGGCAGGGGGGAAGCGCACAGAGAGGCAGTAAAGCAAGGGAAGAAGGGGGTAGGGAAGAAAGGAAGTAAGGTTATTCTATTTTAGCGTGATTTCCTAAGGAAATGAGCCTTAATGCAATCATTTAGCTGGTTTCCCTCTCCTTCCCTCTACCCCCCAGAATAATACGTGAACCAATTGGCCAATTTCATTCAAATGTGAGAGGGAAGCAGATAGGAAATTTCTACGTGACTTGTGAAAAATGAGGAGCTGCATAGAAGAGAGCCCTGCTGAGGGCAGAGTTGCTAAGCAGAAAGCTATGGGGCCCAAGGTCAGGAGCTGGCAGAAGAAGAATTAGGAGACACAGAAGGCAGATCTGGAACAAATCTCATTTCCTTTGCTAACTTGCTCAGAGACAACTCACTTTATGCTAGCCCTAGAAAGGGCCAGGAGAAAATGAAGGGGATCCAGAGCTACCAGCTCTTTCTGCAGAGTTCTTGGTCTCTACCATTCCCTCATGGTGGAGAGGGACTCACTGTAGCTTCTGTTTTCAAGCAGTCAGCCCCACCCAGAAGAGCAACGGCTGACCTGTCAGTGAGGGCACACTCACTCTGCTCCTTAGAAAGATGTCAGGAAGGCAAAACCAGCACAGGCTGGTAGAATAGCATTTTTAAGAGCTGCACAGACACCTATGCCCAGCACATCTTCCTAGCAGAAACAAGGTAGGCGAACAGTAAACTATGGCTTGTCACTCCGTTAAGAGGCAAAAAGCAGAATATAAAACAAGCAGCAATGGGAGATAAAGCAGGTCACAGGCAGAAAATAAGGGATAAAGTCCAATTAAGTGAGGAGCCAGCATTAGTTAAGGGACCTTAGTGCACCAGAAACGCTGCCCTGCCTGGTCCATGCAGTGTCAGGGAGCCAGTTGGTCCACGGACAATTGCCAGCTGTGTCCTCTTTCCTTGCTCAGGGGGCACCAAGCTGCTGAAAATCCCTGCTAAATGGAAAGAATCCTGTCCTGGCCAGACTTTGAAGAAGAACTTTCAATGCTGAGCCCGTTCTTCCCCCACGGGACCTCCAGGCATCCCAGTTTCTTTCCTGAAAATTCTGATCCCAGACATGTTTTCAAAGGGCAGACAGGCAATAAACTAGCCCCCAAGACACTCCCAGCCTTTTCCAGTTCACTGCTGACACTGGAGGTGATCCAAAATAACACAGAATAAAACCCATGGTAAAACATGCATGGTGAGGGAAATCCCGCATCTCCTCAACAATATTCTTGGCCCCTTAAGAGTCCCAAGGTGAGACAAGGGAAGAAGGCAGAGACAGGATCTCGTTCCTCTCTGACCTGGAAGTTCTCTGTCCTTGAATGGATCATCAATCTCTGTGCTCTTCGATCTGGCATCGCTTTCACACACTGGGGTCTCATAGCTGAAAAAGGAGAACAGCAGATGCTAAACTATGTGATATAGCTTTAGTGTCATCAGATCATTGCTAAGGGGTTGTGTCTTATCTGCTTACTGCAGGGGAAACCAATAAATCTGCAGAAGAAATATTATTCTCAAGCATCTGTCTGTTTACGGACAGTTGGTAACAGCAGCAGAATTGGAGAGAGAAGGAAGAGCATACTCTGAAGTCCAGAATCAGCTACCAACCCAAACCCACAAACAGCACAAGGCCCTCTTCCAACTCTTGTAGGCACAGGCTGAGCTTTTTTTCAAAGCTGTCCATGTTCTGCAGAATCACTGTATCTAGCAGAGTTTAGGTCCCAAATCCTACTGGCCTGTTCTTATAATTTGCCAGACCCACAGTTTCTTTCCAAAGCCCAAGTGAAAAAAGATTCCCCAGGCAGTTTTAAGATACAGAGTAACTTAAAGAAAAATCTATCACTGGTTTAAAATCCATGAATGCACAACCAAGCAGTCTTCTAAATCTGTACTGGTGAGGGTCCAAGCGGCTGCAGCATGGAAGTATAAAGCAGAGGATAATGCACCAAAGCCACTTGCCTTTTCACTGCTCATGCCCCTGATCTGTACTCTTGAGAAAAGCCCTGTTTCCTGCTACTGCCCAAAAGCTGCAAGCCAGAGAAAAAAAGGCCGATTGGCTTGAATACTTAACACGGAGGAAAGTAAGGGCAGTAGTTACTATGCACCAACTCCTACAGAGAGGGAGCTGCAGAGTAACATTCAACAGGGAACATCACAGAGAGTGTTGTGAGCTCTAGGGAAGGTAGTACAGAGCTGACTGCTCTAGAAGCAGGAACTTATCTGATATAGCTACAGTATTTTTTTTATAAGTCATCTTCTCCACGCAGGCATCTCACCAGGCCTATAGCTCTTACCGAGTGGAAGTACCAGGCAGCGGGCGTCCCGTGTCCACGAGGACACACCAGCAGTACCCAGTCGACTGATGGCATTGCACTGGTTTGTAGAGCCCTCCGGGAGCGCACTCGGGGATGACGATACCCTCGCGGGGATTCTGCCTGGCCTCCTCCAGGGCGCTCTGCCTTTCCTGGTCACAGGAGTGAACTTTCTCTGGAAGACGGGAGGGAGGTTGGAGGGGGGGGGTGGAGAAAAAAAAATCAAATCAAGATCATCTTCCTCAGCTCAGCAGGATATGGGTATCCTTCACATCAGGAGACCTTTGTGTCTGTTTCCTTCTCAGCAAACACCAGTAAGTCCACATCCCTAGGGACTCGGGGACCTCTGGTTAGTGAGCTTCCTCCTACATTTAGCTGTGACACAAGAAGATTATGGATTATAGACATTGACTGCCAAGTGCCTGGCAAGCCAGGAACAGCAGGAAAAACTGTTCCCATTCAGCTGGGTTTTGGAGCAGAGCTATCAGATAACAATAATTCACTATTGCTGCAGCCACGGGGTAAGCATTTCCCAGATGATGTTTTCACATACTGAAAGATCCTAAATTGTGACTTGTATTTTCAAACACAAGGGCAAACACCCTGCCCTACGCCACATCTCTTTCTGCAGACTGCAATGCACTCTCCCCTCTCAATAGCATCTCTCCAACACAATCCCAAGAGGAGCAGAAGGTTTTGTTTTAACACTGCCTTATCCGGTGCAGAGCGCACCTGCACACACCTCAGCAAGAAACAGAATGGGATATCCCATTCTACCTATACTGCCATCACCTCTCCAGCACACTCCACCTTTGTCTTCACCTGGAAAACAGGGAACCCAACATTGCTTCCTACCACGGGGTAGGTAGGACCCTGTCCCTTAATAGCTTATTACACAGATAAGGTTATTTCCAAAGACATCATCAACCAGAGAACAGAGTACACAGATGGCATGCACCAGAGAACAGAAAGAAGCCCAGAAGTGGCTTCTGCAGCCAGCCTGCCACCTTCGACCCTAGTGCTGCCTCTTCAGCCACCGCGTGCAGAGGAGCGACGGATGCATGGAGAGGTGCCAGGCTGCTGCCTCTTATATGGACCAGCCATTAAAAGGGGAAGAGATGCACAGAGTACCTGTGGTTCGTTAAGAGCTATTTGGCTTAACAGCCGGAAGTTCTCAATTAGAAGTCTTCAAACATTCTGGCCCTTTGAGGAGTAGGAAAATTATTTAAACTTTAGAAACCACTGAAGGTAGCACAGAGAGAAAAAAGCGTGCATGTAGGACAGAAAGCAGTCAAGGCAGCTGATCACGGGATTTAAAACATGTCTAAGTCTAGGGTAAAAAAAGACAACGGTGTAACTCCTAACTTTTATCATTAGGAGCGTGACAAAAATAGAAGCAGGAACAGTTGTTCTCTCCTTCCCTAGCTTTCCTCTCTCTTGCAGTTTAGTGTGTTTTTTCTTTTCTTTTTATAAATAAGCCACAACATCTGAAATTCTTTGCCACAGCCAAGAGTCCCCTCAAGCTTTCAATACATAAAATGCTTCAACACTGACAGGCAATGACACCACAGGTTCATCCCAAACCTGCAGATGTTTGCACGGTCAGCCAGCAGACATGGCATGACCTCAGCATCCTGCCCCCGGGACAGGCTCTGCACACAACTAACACACGCTCACTGTGTCCGTGTATCTTGCCTGCCTGTCTGTACCCCATCAGTTACATCTTATATTTTGGTCATAAATTCTGGTGCAGAGAGTAATTTTTGTTCTGTATTTGGGGAACAGAAGGGGTGCCAATTCACAGCTAGAATTCCTCAGCTTGGTAGCAGCAGGTACAACACAAAAAGCTCCAGCAGGTCTGCACAGCATCACCTGAGTACAGCACACTTTGGGTACCAGAAGCACTTTTACTGGTTTCTAATTGAACTGTAGCAGCTGAAGAGTCTCAGAGACCCAGAACGGTCTCCTTCTCAGCATTTCAGATCACGGTCGAGACTGGGAATGTGAAGGGCACCTGAACTTTGCCACGCAAATCCACACAACCAAAACACAGAATAGAAACTTTTAAGTGTCGGCAAGTCTGACTCAAGCAGAGAGAAACTTGATCGGGAAGGAGCAGGAGGGGATAAAGTCAACAAAAACTGAAAGGGAGCTCAAGCCTCAGCTGATATTTAAGCTGACTTCACTTTGCTGACAGATTTCACATGTGAAAAAAAAAAAAAAAAGACCCACGACTGTTCCCAAGCTGTACATGGACAGAGAAGTCATTGAGCAAGAGGCCTGCAGGCTCCTTAACAAACCACTTACATCACGAGGGGCCCCCGCTTACCCGCGGTCTGCCGACAGTAATTCACACCTTGGCCCTCAGGTGAGGAGGATCATTTATGCAGCTTAGGGAAGCAAAAACAGGGGCAGAATTCCCTATCATCATTTTATATAATAAGCAAAAGAAAAAAAAACTTCTGCCGAAGAGAACTACATTCCAGGAATTTTTCTATCTAAATCCCCAAGGCTTCCTGAGTGCACAAAGTCAAACCAAGGTCTCTCAAGTCCTTTGAGTCTTGCAAAACTAGCACTAAAAATGACTCTGAAAAAAAAAGTGGGTTTTTTTTGTGTGTCAGAACAAAAAATATGCCACTTTTATTGAAACCAAGAAAAAAAAGAAAGAATGTCTTTGAATGAGTTAGTACCTTATTTTACATACACTTGCAGTTAGGTATGCAAATTACACAGAATAAATGTACATACTTAGACACACATTTGTACTACGCCATTAAAAATGGCAAAAAATTCTCTGCACATATTAACAGAAATTTGTGGGAATTGAATAGTCACAGCACTTACTACCAGAACACAGAACTAATTGGTAGTCACTCCTGTTTGAAGGGTGTTTAAAGGCTGAGTGAAACAAATCTTACAGGTTTTGTTCAGCTGACATCAAATAGATGTAATGATGCAAAATCCGCCATCGTCACTAGTATTCAGTGGCCCGTCATTAGCAGTACAACTGAAGTAGTAGGGAGATCAGATTTTTCTCATTTCTAGCATACATCTAGAAGTAGCCACTATGAAAGTCTCATCTATTCCGTTATATCCTGATGAACATAAAACAGACATACTGGGAAAAACCGAAGGCCCAACTTGTCTGTTTCACCTCCAGCCATGGCCAAAAGCAGAAGCTTAGAGGAGAACAGAGGAACAGGACAAGCATATACTTCTTTCCCCCATGTATTTCATGTCTCAACCAGCTGTGGATCAGAAACTTGCAGAGACAGACATGGAGTTTGTATTTAGTGAGTGGCAATGGTTTTTCCCTTCCACCAGTTTGCCGTGTCTCCCTTCATAAACTTTTATTGACTATGACATCCCGCAGCTAGTTCTGTGGCTTGACTACATGTTGTATGTGGAACACAGCAAATCCTTTGGTTCGATCTAAACCTGGCTCCAACTAGGTTTGTTTGCTGACACCCTAGTTCTTCTGGAGGATGAAACAGTGAACAGTTTGCAGTCTCCCTCTCTGCCTCTTACTACTTTGCAGATTCCTATTCATCTCTTTTACATGCTGAAGAGTCCCAGCTGACCCAGTTCTTTCTCTGAACCCTTTCCAGATCCACCATACCTTCCCTGAGCTAGAGGGGATCAGAATAGCAAACACATTCACAATAAATGGAGGCTCTGACAACAGCCTTATGGAAAGTTCCTTCAGTGACATCTGTCTACTAAGCAGAAGAAATTAGTAACTAGCTCTAGCCCCCAGAGAGGCTCTTTCCGCCAGGCTACCACTCTGACAGCACTTAATTCCCTTAAAAAATAAACATGAATATTAACAGTTAGGGTGTACTTCAACAGCCAGCAAAATCAGCTGGGAAATCCATACCATCAGCTTCCCTAGTATGGGACTTGGCATGAACTGAATACACTGTCACCCTGAAAGATGGTCTCGTGGGTAATGAAGGGACCATCAAATGCTATCCCAGCTCCAGGACACTGAAGTCAGGCTGTTCCAGTCAGACTGCTTACTGGAAACTTTGCTGTTGTTGCCAAGGCTAGGTTTATGGAGGACAGTGAAAGCCTATGGCCAAGCTAGAAAGTTTAATGCCAGCTATGAAATTAAGCTGTCATCTTAGAAAGCAGCGTATATTTATTATACGTGCAGGGTACTTAAAAGCCTACTCCCTGTTTGAGTTAATGGGGGTCACAGGCACAGAAAGATAAAGAAAAAAGGTTTTCCTTCTTTCCCTATATTAAACATTTAGAGAGAGAATATTTAAGACAGCAAGTCAGTGGGACACAAACAGCCTTCCCAGGACCAACAATAATATTACAAAACTTTTTTTTTTTTAAGGCACTGTCACATTCTCCTGTTTTCTGCCATCTCTGCTTTGACTTAAGACAACCATCAGCAAAGAAGCTGAGTAACACTTGCCAACTTGCTGTTGCTGGGGAGCGAAACCTTTGGGAGACAGCAAATCTAGATTACAACAAATCCAATGACAGCAAAAAAAAAAGATAGGGAATGCATGCACACACAAAGGAGAGAATCACTGGCAGAAATATACGTTTAACTGCTCAGCTCTAAAATGCTGTTTGCTCCTTCTTACTCTTGACTGCTTCTAACACTGCTTAAAACATTAAAAAAGTACTGTCTCTGAAGCCATGAGCTATTGCAGAAAAGCATGGCTTGGACGTCTGCAGTTGTACATTATTTATGCAACAATTTTCCCCTAGTAATGGCCTTCTGAGAAATACATGGTCAGATTCATAAAAAGGTCTCTCATTCCTGGTCCCTTAAGTACACACATTCAAACTTACATCTAGTGCCTGCACAATAAAAATAAAAATGATGGATGAGGTAAGGGACTCATCTGACTGTCTAATAAACTAGATGGTTATTAAAGAGATGGGGTGTTTGTTTACCTTACAAAGGTGAGAAGAGAGGGTGTCTAGCAGCATCTAACCAAAGGCTTGTGCTTAACAGTTCTCATGCTCAGCTTGCATGGCTAGATGCAGCCAACGTGCTGCTCTGGGGACAAGGCAGCCTCCCCCAGCTGCTCTCCGGACACATAACAACTCTCATAGCTATCACAGCCAAAGGACCAAGCATCAATCACTGGGGCTGTGAGGATGCTATGGATAATTAGGGTGGGACATAAGGAAGATATGCCACCCAACCAC